TGCGTATATGTCTCTCGCTACCTAGGCGACCCTGCCGACATGGAAGGATATATGTCCATGCATACGTGAACTCTTGATCGACCATACAAAACTACAAGGAAAAAGAATAAACCTAACCAGTAATATATGTTAGAGTACCAGCACTGCACAAACTTCGAGACCACTTGCATAAACGATAAGGTAGAGATCCATTTGACAACGATCGATCGACGCGTGAATGAGCTGCGGATTCGTGCAAATAATCAGTAACTGGACGTGCGTACGTAGACGTTTAGCTGTTCCCGATCGATCGTGTGAAATGAAGAATAAAATGTCTCCGTTTGACCTAACAGCTAGTGTATATATTTTTTCTGAACATAACATCTAGTGTACGTAGAACGGCGTGCATGCATATATACTCCTTCCGTTCCTAAATAGTCTTTTCATATTTCAATAAGGACTACATACGAATTTATATAGATATATTTTAGAGTGTAGATTTACTCATTTTACTTCTTATGTAGTCCACATTGGGATATCTAAATAGACTTTTTTTTTAGGGAAACAGCAGGACTCTGCTGCGTATTTTTATTGATTTTTAAAAAAATATAGTACAAAGAATAAGGTCTGAAGAAAAGAAAACAAACTATACATCGAAGATACAAACAAAACTAAGGAAAGAAAGAAGAGATAGTAAACAACAAATACAACAGCAACATAGCAAGTTATCTAAAGGATTTGATCTGACACGTGGTCTCTGAACCATCGGAGAAAAGAAAACAAACTATATATCTAAATAGACTTATATTTAAGAACGGCGAAAGTAGATTTGGTCTGACACGTCGTCTCTGAACCATCGGATATCATGGGTCACCAAGCTAGGCCGCTGGCATGCGTGGCACGGCCAGCACGGGAGACTACCTGTTTATTCACTTTTACATGGTACTCCGTTCGTATTTTTTTATGGCCGACTTGAACTACATGGTCCGAACTAAGTTAAGCAATACCTAATTTGACACTTCAAAATCCTGACGGCTCGTCCATTAAAGATCACGAACACAAACGTTCTCAACAGCATGGCTGCCATGGGGCGGCATGACGACGGGTCTATTGTATTGCGGATCATGGTGTAACTCCACGGGCACATGTGATCGTCCAAAGATAAGCTGGCGATTGGACCGTCGATCCCATTGATTGGTGGGCGAGCACAATTGGGATCTCAGGTACTCTATTTCATCCCTTAATATTAGCCTTTCATATTTTGGGTCAAATTTTAAACATAAATTTAGCTAATATAATATGAGTTATAGTAGTAAAATAATATCATTTGAAACTTTGCTTGAATATGAATATAAAGATATATTCTTTATGCATGTAACTTGTATTTTATTAGTCAAATATATGATCAAAATGATATTATGAACCTGGACGAAGAAAGTATGTGCTAACGATGCCTCTCTTAGGGTTGGGTCACATGTTGTGGAGCGGATTAGTGTCACAAGGGAGCAACTTGCACTGCTACAAATGTGCATCCACCCAAAGTAAATAGTCAAACTGGTTTGTGAAATTTAAAATCCTATGGGAAAGGTACCCTCTTCTTGCTCAAGCCGTGGTTCGGCAGGACCCCGTTATGCGATGATTTCATGGCTCTCTTTGCGATCTGCTCGGATCCGATGCTCTTGGTTGCCTCGGCAGCCAACAATGGGAAGCATAACATCTTCTGACAAAAATTTGGCCCCAAGGAAACGTAAACATTTGCATATACAATTTGCCGGAGAGGGGAGCGATGGGGAAATTGCTCCCTCATTGTGGGGGTCCTTAATTGTTGTTTCTTGGCACCTGGCTCCCTGGGGCTCTATCCAGTCATGTCGTCATACCGTGCCTTATGCCATGCGCCAACCCTTGCATGGACCACACCTTTGTGGAAAGCGCCTCTTCCTCTGAAGATCAAAATCATCGCTTGGTAGAAGCTCCATGATTTCCTCCCCTTAGATGCTTAGCTGGCGCAACGGCTTATGTCGGGCAATGGATTTTTCCCTCTTTGTATGGCCCTTTCTGGGATCCACATTTTTAGTTCTTTTACCGGTGCTCGTTCATAGGGAGCTTTGTTCGTGAGTCTCCGGGGCCTGAGTGGTAGGCCTTTGAATTGGGCAAAAGTTCATAGAGGCTCAGTCCCAACGTATCGGTACGAGGAGGTGCATCTTCTAGGTAGTGTTCATCATGATGATCTAGACTCTACATAGTACATGTAACAAGATGGTTATCAAGCTGGTGTTTCTATGGTGCGCTTACGACTCTTGTAGTAGTGGTACCTTCTTTGTAGGAAGCGAGACAAGGACCGACTAGGGGCAGGCCACCAACTCGCTTCGCCCCCTGGCCAGTGATCTTTTGACTCCATTGATTCATGCATCACTTTTTATTTTGCATTTGGGCATGTTTATGTTGTCACCCTAGCATACCTCCTATTTTCTTTCATGTACTTGAACTACATGTCAGGATGTGGTGATTGCTTGATTTATAAAGTGGGAGGAAATCCTATTTCGAATAAAATGAGTGTGGTTTGAGTTTAGCAGGCGGAGGGTTTTAGATGATGTGCGGCTAGTAGTTTTATTTGGGTCTACACAGTTTAGGTTGTCCTTCATTATTGCCACTTACCAATAAAATAATATGGGAGCTTATAGTGGTACACATACTTGCATCCATGCACAGGAGAATTCATCACGACAAACCCTATTTTACAAGCATTGTTATTTTGGTGGTGTACATAGTTTCCATAGTTGTAAGACCTGAAAAGATGATAAAATCCCAGTTTATCCCTAGAAGAAGAGTAGAATACGCCTCGAGGGGTGATCGAGCAAATGTGATAGAAGTCTTTAAGAATCACCCCCGCGTAATGAAAATGGCCATCTATTTTCTTGGTTTTCTTGCAAACTCCTTCCCCTGCTAACATATTTCCATTTCAAACCAGGTTGTCCATTCGCTCATACACACTTTATACAAAGGAGAGTGGGTGTTTCTCCCAAAGTAAATATGCATGGGCGGGCTCACTCATGTTCTAAGTGTCATTTTTTGGGTTTTCACATTTGTGTGATATTTTCCTTTCAATTATTTTTTTGTGTTTTGCTTACTTTAAACTTGTATTTCATTTATGTTTACTTTGTTCATTGCCTATTTATATTTATTTTTTCATTTTCTCATCATTTGTATGTTTTCTTGTAAAGCATATGAATATATAGTCAGATGTGCAAGAATAACTCTTATTAAAAACATGTTTTTCGTACATAGGAATACATTTTAAACATGACCTGAGCACTTGTTGCAAATATGGATATTCATACTGAGGTACATGAACATGTCTGAATTTTCTCGCAATATATGATTTCACATCTTTTATTCACGCATTAACATTTGTATCGCAAATATATTATATAGAAAACATTTTTGCATAGAACTAAACTCTAATAGTAGACGGGCCGTACTCTGTGGCTGGCCGATTAAGGATCTTTCGAGGCAAAGTTCCCATTATCCTTCGCATAAAAAGTTGAATAGCATGACCCATTCATCCTTGCATACAAAAATAATATGTTAGCTACAAATCAGTCCATAAAAAAAATTAAGCTAGATTCATCCTTGCATATACTAGTAATTAATTTGTTTTCTACATATTAGTAGTAGTGTCATGCAAACAACAGATACTAGATTCATTTATTTCAACTCGAAGCTCAACAGAGGTATACAATTTGTCCGCGGATAAAAAGAGCATATTTTCCCCTTTACTAAATCTCAGTGCCTTAAAACATTTTAAATCTGAGTACCTTAAATGCTACAGTATTACCTACTCAAAGAGCAGAAGCTTCATTCAAATTAAAGAGTGAAATAAAGTTTTAGTCTCCAAAGATTTAAAAAAATTAACTATACATTTATTTTTGACAGCAAAAATAGACAATTATCAATTTCTTCACGTGCCCTTATTCACACGGCGGTCTAGATCTATCACACACAAGAGTATTGTAAGCTAGCTATGATAGTGTATTTCCTTTGTCAGTGTTGGAATTATCTGTGAGCACCGCTGCCCACTGGTGTAGGATCAACTAATAATTAGACGGCTAGCTGTAGCGTACGTGTAACCAAAGGACGAAACATAAAGTAGACATCTCCTGCGCTGGTAGTAGCATGCATTTGTATGGCTACATGGAATAAAAACCGACATAATAATCTCCTAAATTTGTCTCTAGCGAACCTCAAGATCAGGTTATGCCAGCTGGTAGCGCTGCCGGATATATTTCAATTATCACATAGTATGTGTGTCTTCTAGGAGAATGATCGCCTACCCATCGTCCATGTTTGCTTTGAGATTCATGCTATTTTTTTACTGTTGTCAAAACTTATCTTGTTTCATAAAGTTCCGTTAGTTGTTATTATTATTCCAAAGTGTATCACCATGTTTCGTTGTGTACAGACAAATAAGGGTGCACTTGTTTTAGATCGAGTTTGTTGCACAATGAAACATTATGATACACTTTAAAATGAGAGCAAAACCTAACATAACACGCTGAAACAAGACAAATTTGTCAAAACGAGGAAACACAACACAATTTCAAAGCAATGGTGGACGGTGGATCCATATAAATGATATCCCGGGCTAGAATATCATGTCTCATGCCTAAATTATTGTCGAATTTGTGAACCCATCAATAAATACATGCATATTGGAGTACATGGAAATTAGTTAACATTTTAAACTCCAATAATGGTACGCACGTAATATCGTACAATTATAGCAGTAGTAGTACTAATAGTAGCAGCAGCGCTAGTGGTGGAAAATAATGTTTTCAAATTACGGCAAGAGTCAAACTCAACTGATCATGACATGAACGATGCACTTGCACGTTACACCCCGGCCTAGTTATAAATACCACCCCAAGCAACCCAGGAAAAGCATCCCAAGCTAGCAAAGCCCACCTAGCGCTCAGCCACAAGCCAGTACACTCTAGCTAGCTACTAGTGTTATCCACATAGCAATGGCGCCCTTCAAGCTCGCCCTCTTCCTCGCCATGAACCTGGCCATCCTCTTGGCCGTGCATGGCTGCGGGTCATGCGGCAACACACCGCCCGTCCCAGTCCCAAGCCCGCCCATCGCCGTGCCCCCACCAGCTCCCGTGCCGTCTCCGCCTTCGTCCGGTGGCGGGGGCGGCACCTGCTCCATCGACACGCTGAAGCTGAAGGTATGCGCCAACGTGTTGAACCTGCTGAAGCTAAACCTCGGCGTGCCGACGGACGAGCAGTGCTGCCCCCTTCTGAGCGGCCTCGCCGACCTAGACGCCGCCGTGTGCCTCTGCACCGCCATCAAGGCCAATGTCCTCGGCATCAAGCTCAACGTCCCTGTCGACCTCGTTCTCCTCCTCAACCAGTGCGGCAAGACCTGCCCTGCCGATTTCACCTGCCCTAGCTGATCCATCCATCACAAACCATGCATTTCATACTTGCATCATCATCATCATCGCCGTACTTGCAATTACAATGTTTTCTCGTATACGCATGCACCTATATATTTCCTCGTAATTACAATATGTTATATGTCAGTCGCGTGCATGCATGGGCTCCCTCCCTCGTGCATGCATGCTTCAGGCATTCAGTTAGTCATTTGCCGTTACGGTATTCCAGTATTTGTAAAAGGGTATATGTGCGTGGAATAAAAAGTTTGTTCATGTTGTCTTTTTATTTTTTTGTGCGGGTGTTCTGGTTGTGTTAACTCGATCCGTGATCTGCCAGCTTGTATATATTGTACGAAGCATGATCAGATACACAGCTCTTCACATGTGTTGGCTGCTACTTCATGTTTCTCGTGGCCTCTCTTCTTTCCTTTGTCAGTTACAAAAGCGAGGTAACGTTTTTAAACTTGCCACGTGTTGGCGGCTACATCTTTTTTCTCATTGTGGCTACGAAGGTATTTCACAACATACTGTTATCAACAAATAAGAATCGTATGGTATCCAAATATAATGATACATAAGAATGTATGCATTAAACATATGCATACCTATTTATGTTGAGCATCGGATGTTTATATTAGCATATAATTTGTGGCTCTCGTTGGCTGGGTATCACTCGAAAAAGTTTGAAAAATGAAATGATGAAATTAAGTAGAACAATATCCTACAAAGCCCTTTTAGATGAATGAATTACTATCCTTGTAAAAAATTCCAAGGATGTTCTCTATCATTTAAATTCCTGAGAAATTCAGGTCTAGTACCAAACAAACCAATTTTTTTCAAATAATTAATGTACTCCCATCATTTGGATATATGTCTTTTAGGGATGGGTACGTCTTCAACATGCAACTTTATGAATATGTTGGTCGGATTTTACAGATTGCAATATAATAAAGAAATTACAACAAATCTGATGATATTATTTTCATCTAACCAACAATAATATTTCCCATGCATAGTCAGAGTTAAACTTGTTCAAGTCTGATTTTGGTATTTCTAGAAGAACAACTATTTCTAAATGGGGGAGCGATTTTCTTCGGCATCTACCAATGACATCTTAATCCAACTCTAGCTTATTCAATTTCATGATCATGTGTTACAAAATAGTCTACCTCGTTTACCTATTTGATCAATGGGAAATTACATTTTTACTAGAATAGAAGTGCTACCTATAATTACTTTATGTAATTCCATCAAATTATTGAAGGACATGAACTGTTTTCTTGCACTTTCACATATCACATATACTAGTTAAGTAGTTCATCCCTACTACTTTATTGATCTCAACATGCACATATGTCACCTCATCAGCATAACCACCTCAATTCTCTCAACATGCATGGGATGTTGATTATAAACAATATGAAAATCCCATTTCATCAACCTCACTAATTTTAGTACACTCAACATGCATGGGCAATAATACTTATATTCTTTAATATTTGCAACCATATAATAATAATATTCAATAAATAATATGTATTTTCAGTCTTCATTCTCATATTCAAATTCGGGACAACAAAACCGATCAAAATAATAATATATCGGACCCAATTCCTACAGCAACATGCGGGGGATCATCTAATTTATAAGGTTTTCTTGTTTGTACTTTTATAATTAAAAGTCGATGAAAGTAACTATAATTACACTTAGCCCAGTCCCAAAATTATGGTCTTCTCTGTGCAAAATTTTAGGTACAAAACTGATACATGACTACTACCTCAGTAAAAAAACGACGTTTTGGATCAAATTTTAAAGTTTTGACCACTCATTTTATTTTTAGTTATTTGATTATAAACTTGAAAATCATATGCATATATTTGTCTGGAGAAGTAGTTCCGGAATATTATTTTTTGTTCACACATTTAGTGAAATATTAATTTGAAGTCAATGTTACATTTTGTGTCAATGAAAAAAATCACATTCTGGTGAATTAAACGAGTACACCCAATAGGTAAATACGGTCGAAGACTGAAAGCCATTGATATCCATGAGAAAAGGACAATTTTCTAGGTGATGTTTTTTTAGAGCGGAGGCGCTTGGCCGACCATAAGAATGAGGCCCTTAAGTTTAATGCTACTAGTTCTAGAGTTTGCAGAAAATAAAAACGAAAAAGAAGGCAAGTGAAAAGGTTCGATACAAGCCATTAGAGCCAATACAAGCGATGCTGCCCAAGCCATCGAGATTAGCCACCGGAGCTGATGAACTTGGTTTTCTAGCAAATGATCCTGATGAAATATATCAGTTTTTGGAAGGCCATTTGCGTTCTTTCCTCTAACTTAAATATCAATCGGATACGGGCACACACTCCCTTTCTTGGATCTCAAATTGTCAACTCTCTTGTTAGGGTCATGGTCTTGAAATGATCCCTTCTTGTAGCAGTCGATTTGACTCAATTTTTGTACAGATATGTGAAATTGTGGATGCATCCACATTATATATTAATATCCTAGTACATCTCTCGACCATATAGACAGCTAGATATCGAGCTTCTCTCCCGAACTAATGGAGATCGACGTGCATATATGTATCCTGCTACCTAAGGCAACGCTGCCGACATGGAAAGATAATTATATATATCCCTGTGAACAGTTGAGCGACCATGCAAAACTACATGGAAAGAGAATAATTCTGACCAGTAATATATGTTAAAACTACATGCACCACACAGATTTCGAGACCACGACTACTTTCATGAATATATGGTCTATCAACTTGCATGTTCCATGGATTGTAGGCACAGCTAGTAATCCACCTAACAACGTCCGATTGACGCGTGAAATGGGCAGCAGATTCATCCAAAGAATCAGTAGGAGTAACTGGACGTACGCAGAGCTGGCTATGGCCCTCGATCGATCGTGTGAAACGGAGAATAAAAAGGTCTCCATTGGCCACAGCATGGAGACGCTATGTTTGACCTAACAGCTAGTGTACTACATGCGTCCATGCACGACTAAGTTTTCTTAACAGAGCCGGTACCTGCCGGTCAAGCATCCGCCGATGGTGTCATTTTGGAGATTTGTGTCATTTTTTTATTTATCAGATAGATGAATGGTAATACATGAATACATGTATTTGCGTCAGACAGATAGAGTTAGCTTTTACAGAGAAGAGAGAGGGGACTGGAGAGAACGGTGCATGCATGCATTCTCTCACCCCATGTACTGGACATGCATTTTATTTTCATCCTCATATTTCTAATGATTCATATCTTTTGGACCAAATGTCCATTACTGAAACTTCTTATATATTTGAATTCGTGGGTGAAGACCTTCAAAACATGATCAGTTTTGAATATATTTGAACTATTTTTTCATATATATTTCAATTACATTTGAAATTAGTTTCATAAAACATAAAAATGTTTCACTAGTTCATAGAAGTGATTTATACGGTTTCGAACATGTCACAAACTGGAATATGGAAATCACAAACACAATGAAAGATCTTTCATATATTATGAAAAGAAATTTTAATAAATTTTTAATAATCAATTCTGCACTGTTTTAACTGATTTGAAAAGATCAATATCACACATTTGAACACATAGGTTTCGGCCATTTCAAAGAACTGGCTTCATACATTTCATAAAACTGATTTCATTCACTAAAAAAACTTATTTTAGAAAACTGATTTCACTTATTTTAATGTAATCATTAGAAAGCAATTCACTCGTTCCAAGACTAGATTTCACTCACAAGATGAATTCACATATTTTAAAAAACCTATTTCACTATTTTTCACACACAAGATTAAGCAAATTGACAAACATACCGAAATATGTTTCATATATTTGAAAAATACATGTTTCATATATTTCAAAGAAATAGTGGAATGACTAGATTTCACTCATTAAAAGAAACTAGTTTCGTATATTTGAAATAACCAATTTCACATATTTTAAACAACCTATTTCACTATTTTTCAAACACAAGATTAAGCAAATTGACAAACATACCGAAATATGTTTCATATATTTGAGAAATGCATGTTTCATAAAAATTGAGTGAAATATTTAGACAACAACTTAGACGTGTTTGAAATAATCAATTTCACATATTTCAAATAACCTATGTCACATATTTCACTATTTTTTTATATTTCAATTATCTTTTAGATCGCTTTCATAAAACATAAAATTGATCTGCTATTTCATAAAAGTGTTTTTGACTGTTTAGCTAATATCAGTTAAAAAACCACTTCACTCATTTCAGAAATTGATTTCACACATTTCATAAGACAGATTACTCTCATTTGCAAATACCAATTTCACTGCAAATTTATGAAATATATTGAAATGTATTCCGGTCGTTAAAACTATCGGTTTCAAACACTGGAAAATTAGTTTCACAAAAAAAATTGGTTTTATTTCTCTTTTATTCAAATACTTATTTCACTCATTTCAAAAAACACACTGCACTCATTTACAAAATATATATTTCACCAATTTCACTAGTTTCAGGAAACACATAACATTCATTTTCAGAAAACATATTGCGCTCATTTCACTAGTTTCCAAAATAATTATTTAACAAATTTGAAACAATGCATTTCACTGATTTGGAAAACTGATTTTACTCATTTCAAGAACTGGTTTCAATCATTTTGAAAATTGTAATTTGAAATGAGTGAAATTGATATTTTGACATGATTGAAATAGTAAAATTAAACTATTTTAAATATATTCAAGAATGGTCTCATTCTAAACATCTTATGTTCAAGAATTTGAATATATGAAAATTTTGAATAATAGAACAATGCTGTAAAAAATATTGGCCATCTAAAAATGTAAACAAAAATAAAATGCATGGACTTGTTTGAGAGAGAGGAGAGATGCTACATGCATGGTACATCCCGCTGCAAAAAGTACAGCCACTCCTGACATGGGCCCTATTCATGTGACGATGATTTGACTATATACAAAAAATTAACTGCCTAAATACATGAGTATACATATGAAT